TCCCTCCCGCCGCGGCGCGCCGCGGGCCCGAGCAGCCGGGGCGGCCGCGCCGGTTCCGAGCGCGGGGGTGTCCGTGCGCCCGCTCCGCGCCAAACGGGCCCCCAGCGGGGGCTACGGCTCCTCCGGAGGGCCCGGGGGCACACAGAAAAGCAATCTGCACATGCTCCAGGGTTTCGCATCTCCTCATCTTCCTCCTCGTCCTCCTCGTCCTCGTCCTCGTCTTCGTCCTGGTCCTCGTCCTCGTCCTCCTCCTCCTCCTTGTCCTCGTCCTCGTCCTCCTCCTTGTCCTCGCCCTCCTCTTCGTCCTCGTCCTCGTCCTCGTCCTCGTCCTCCTCCTCTGCCTCCTATTCGTCCGGGGGGACTACGGTTCCTCCACAGGGCCCAGGAGGGCACACAGAAAAGTGAACCCAGCGCGACCCCAATTAGGGGAAAGCTTCCTATTGCATGGGCGCAACGATTGGCATTGCTTGACATTGCGTGGCTTTGCTCGGCATGAGGCACCGGGCAACCCTGGGAACCCGGGGAACCTCCGAGGAAAGGGCAAAGTAAGCTCCCGAGGCACCAACCTTTAACCAAGCAGAACCCCCTTAGGCAAGCCTAACTGGGGAATTGCAGGCACAGATTCCAAGGCCTGGATGTCCCTCTTCCCCTGCTCAAATCTTCCAACATTCGTTCATGAACATCAGCGCGACCCCAATTAGGGGAAAACTTCCTGTTGCATGAGCGCAGTGCTTGGCATTGCTTGGCATGAGGCACCCGCGGAACCTCCGAGGAACAGGCAAAGCAACCCCCCGAGGCACCAACCTTTAACCAAGTAGGAACCCCTTAGGCAAGCCTAATTGGGAAATGGTAGGCACACGCTCCATGGCTTCGTATATCTTCCAAGATGTCCAGGATGTCCCTCTTCCCTCTTCCCAGATCTCCCAACATTTTTCATGAACATCGGCGCATGTTTGTTTGTGTGTGGACCAGATTTCTTCCTGCTGATCCTCGTCGGCACGGACGGTCCTGTAGTGGCGCTCCACCGCCTCGAACGCGGCCGCCGCTCTCTGGAACCTCTGAGGAACAAGAAACGGCAGAAACTTTCCTTCTCGGATATCCTCGTGGATTTACCCTCCTGCCTGGCGCGCGGAGCGCGCCAGGGGCGGCGCCGCCAGGGGGCCCAGCGCCGATCTCTAATAAATCTGCGCGGAGGTCTGAGAAATCATGTTTATGCCATTCTTCTTCTCCGACGCCTGGAAGTCCACTCGGCGGCGACCTCCTCCTCGAGGCCCTCGGGCTGCTTATCCGGGTGGCAGCGCAGGCAAGCGCGCCGCCAGGCCTTCCGCATCTCGCCGAAGCGCGCGCCAGACTCGGTGAACTCGGGCAGCCACTCGGGCGGCACCTCCAGCGCCGCGAGCGCGTCGGCCAGGGGGTAGTCGCGCGATGCACGATGGAGCTTCGCGCGACGTTCCTCGGCGTCCTTGAAGAGCCTCTGTGTGTCGAAGCGCGGCGCGGGCCTGTCCGAAATCCTGTCGCCCTGCATCACGTCGTACAGCAGCTGGGCGGTCTCGAGGTCCCGCGCGAAGTTGGGTGAGCCTTCACGGGAGCCCGCGTCCCTGTCATAAACGTGATTTCGACCAGACTTCGTCCAGGTTTCGACCACCCCACTTCACCCTTTGGTCCAGATTTCGTTCAGATATCATTCAAATGGCGACCAAATCCGACGACATCTCCCGAACCGCAAGGACTTGTGGGACCCTCTGAGGCTCCCATGAAGGACCACACAAGCGAAATCCAGCGCGGTGAACGACGAGCCGTTCTCCTGCCAAGGGTCAGCGCCCATCTCTATGAGCGTCTGGACTGCCCAGATGTGCCCGCTGTCCGCGGCGGCCATCAGAGGCGTGGCCTGCCAGCACACTGCCGCGGGGTCCGCTCCAGCCTCCACGAGCGCCTGGACCACCTCGCCGTTGCCCGCGCCCTCGCTCACACACGCCAGCTGCAGCGCGCTCATGAGGTCAGCATTTGTCAGGGTCACGTCGGCCCCGTACTGGATGAGCTCCCTGAGTATCAAGGTGCGCCCGAGGTGTGCGGCGTCCATGCAGGGCGTGTTCCCGTACTTGTCCACCGCATTGGCCAGCGCTGCGATCGCGGTGGCTTGGCCCCCCCGGGTGCCGGGGTGCCGACGCAGACGACCACACAAAAAACAAAAGAGAACGCATGGGCAAGCACCAGACGGCCTCGACGCCTTTGTTGCCTCTGTATGGTCTGTCCGATGGCGTTCTGGCCCTCTGCCCCGACCTTCGGCGTCTTGAAACCACATGCCATGGGCCCCGCCCCAGACCTCTTGACCTCCTCGGGACAAAACTTCCGCTGCGCATCGTTTTCTGAGCGAGGATCAAGAACGGGCCTTGCGCGAGATGACGCAGCGACCTTGCGCGGTGGTTTACGCGCAAGGTCGCCAGCGCGGCAGGCCACAATGGAGACGAAGGCGCTCACGCGCGACCTTGCGCGGGCAGCCTACGCGCGAATGTCGGCGCAGTCGGGCCCGCTTTTTTGCGTCGCTCTTCTGGCGCACCCAGAGCGACCACTGGGACTGGACCCCAGGCTCGCGCGAACAAGACACTTTTCAGTCCGCGGGCGCCAAGGTGGTCCAAGACAGTCAGGCGCCGGTCAACAAGCGGTGGGGTGCACCGGAGGCGAATGGAGGCACGGAGGCGCAGAGGGAAAGAGCGCGAGAAGAGGCAGAAAGAGCCTGCTCATAGACGAGCGCATTCCACTACCCGCAACATGACTACTCGCAAATGGCCTGGCTCCGCCGAGGAGGAGTTACGGCAATCATATGTTTTTCTCGTCGGACGTTTGCGATTAATCACTTTGCAAGTCGTGGAACGCGTTCGGTGAGCTCAGACCGTGTAAGCCAGCGCCGGGATGCCGGAGGAGAGCGCCTGCGAGCTGCGTGCGCACGAAGAGCACACATCCGCACCGAAACAGCACACCACGACCGTGGGACGGTCGAAGGTCTGGGCCGCTTCGGAGGCCTGCGCGATGGTGCCCACAGAAGGTCCCGGCAGGCCTCCAGAGAGCTGATGGCGTCCAAGAGGCGACCGATTCGAGGAGGACGATTGACCATCGAATCGATGAGGACGATCGACCCTCGCTTCGAGGACGATTGATCCTCGAGCCTCCCTCCGCAAGCATCGAGGACTTCGCCTTTTCGTCGGACCAGGAACCTGCTGGCCAGGATGTTGAGAATTCCACCAGGCGAGTCTATCATGGAGACTGCTTCGACACACGGCTGCGGTCTCCTCGGGCGCGTCAGTGTCCTCGCTTGTCATCCCCCCCCCCCCTTGAGCTGGGACCCTGGCATATCCCTGCTCATGCCCCACCCCCACGAGACTCTAGGAGGAGGAGGAGAAGGAGGAGGAGGAGGAGGAGGAGAAGGAGGAAGAGGAGGGAGGAGGGAGGAAGGAGGAGGGGAGGGAGGAGGAGGGCGAGGGAGAAAAGAGAAGGAGGAGGAGAGGAGGAGGATGAGGAGGAAGAGGAAGAGGAAGAGGATTATTAGGAGGAGTATGAAGGAGAAGAGAGGAGGAGGAGGAGGAGGAGGAGGAGGAGGAGGAGGAGGAGGAGGAGCCTGACCTCTGCCCCTCAGAGGGGCGAGGCCGCCGCGGCGCCGGGTCGGCCTCCAGCATGCGTCGGCAGAGGCGAAGGTCGCCCCGCGTGGTGGCCACGTGCAGCGGCGACCGGCCGAGCTCGTCGCGCGCGCAGAGCGCGCCGGCGAGCTCGCCGCGGGCCAGCGCGCCACCCACGAGGTCGAGGAGCTCCTCAGGGACGACACCCACGGTGATGGCAGTGACGGCGGCGGCGGCGGCGGCAGTGGCGGCCGCGGCGGCGCAAGCGGCTGCGGCAGCGGCGATAACGGCCGCAGCGGCGGTTGCGGCGGCTGCAGCGGCTACAACGGCCGCAGCGGCGGCTGAGGCGGCTGTGGCAGCAGCGCGGCGCTGGCCACGGCGGTCTCGGCGCTGGCGGCGGCGGCCGCGTCGGGCACCGCGCACTCCTGCGGGTCGACCTCGGGGTCCTTCAACCGGCAGATGAGCTCCTGCCCGACGGACGCCAGCCGCGCCTCTTGAGGGTCCAAAAACCGTGCGGTGACGTCAAAATCCCGCAGGACCTCACCGCATGGTCCGTTACTGCACGGCTCTGGAACCTTGGAGGCTCCAGCGGCCCGAGCCCTCCCCAGAGAACGAACGGAGTCCCAAAGCCGCGCGGACACCCCGAATCCCAACTGACTCACCACACGGTCTGGTCACCACGCCGCTTGGGGGCCCTGAGCCTCCTTGGCGGCCGCCGCCTCGGCTTGGAGGGCGGGGGACCCCGCCGCGGCCGCTGGCGCCCCCGTTGCGCGGGCCATGGCCGCCGGCGCGCCATGTGCTCCCCCCACTCGGCTGCACGCAAGAGCTGCCCCACGCAAGGGAGACCCCCGGTGCGCGGCTTTCGGGGGTCCGCGGGGGGGCCACATCCAAGCGCGCCAGCTACTGCTGGGGGGACCCATGTGGCGGGTTCCGGAAGCTCCGAAGCAGAACATCTTGCCATCTCTTGGGGTTATCTTTACTCCTGTCGGCTTCCGCCGGCGGAGGCGGCCTCGTTTTGCTTCCGCCGCCTTCCGCCGGAGGAAGAGCTGCCCTCCCCTTCGATCCTCGAAGGCGAAGCCCTTTCTGGACCGCCTCGTGTGGCCCGCGCCCACCGCGGTGCGGACCCACTCTGCGTGTCCTCTGCTCCCCCCTCCCCTTTTTCCCCCTCGCGGCCGCCGGCCTGCCCCCCTTCCTCAGCCCCCTGCTGGCCGCCGGGCAACTCGCGCTCGCCTCCTCCCAGCCCGCTCGAGCGCGCGTGCGGCCTGCCTTCGCCGCGCTGCGACGCAGAGGGTCACTGCGGAGCAGCACTGCAGGAGGCAGTCCGCAGACGGACGGGCAGTGCTGCGACGCAGAGGGTCCCTGCACGCAGCGCGCAGCGCGGCAGAGCCAGTGCGGACGGGCCTGCGCCCCGAGGGTCCCTGCGGTGAGGGGCCCGCCCGTGCGCGCGGTCGGCCCCGGGGAGGGGCGGCGGGCCCGTGGCGCCCGCGGCCCGCTGGGCGGGCCGCGCCGCGTGGCCGCCTGCGGGAGCGGCGCGGCTCTCTCGCGGCGCGGCTCCTGGTCGGGGCGCGCTCCGGGACGGATGACAGATTCGCGGCCGTCGTGGGTCGTCGTCGTGGGTCGTCGTGGGTCGTCGTCGTCGTCGTCGAGGTCGTCGAGGTCGTCGATGGTTCTCTAAGGTTCTCGGTGATCTGCGGTGGCTTTCGGAAAAGGAGCGCCCTCCGAGGGGGCAAGAGGGGGCTCACTTCAGAGGGCAGGGTGCCTCTCAAGAACCCTTCCTCTAGACGATCGACATCTTATCCATCCCCCTGCTCGCGCCCCGACCCAATGAGGAGCTAGAGCGAGGATATGGAGAAATCCCACCAGCCTTATGGGGCGACAGGTGGTGCGTCGTCTCCCAATCACCTTCTCCCCCTTCCTTCGGGAAGGCCTTCTCACTGTCCTGATTCCCCAATCAGTGCTTGCATTGAAGGGGTCCTAACGGAAATTGAAACATTTGGCGAAAATTTCCCGCCGATTTTTTTCCGGGTTCCCAAATTCCGGGTTATTGGTTCCGGGCCGATTTCGGTGGGTTCCGGGTTCCTGGGTTCCTGGTCGATCTCCTTATCGCTCTCTTTATCGATCGATGCACTCGAACCATCCATTGATTGGGTTTTTTTTCTCTGGTGTAGTTGACCTGCATCCTCTCCCCCGCCAGGCCGGCGACAACATGCGGGCCCCCCCCCCCGCCATCCCTATCAACACACAGTGCGCAGAGTGCACATGGCGGCGCAAACTCTGGGCCGTGCGCGGGCGCCCCGTGAGCACTTTGCATGCGTGTCTTTTGGGGGGGGGGGGGGGGCAAGGGCGGCGGTGGTGCGCTCCCGCTGTCCGCTCTGTGAGAACCTACCGTCCCTGTCATCATCATCATTCGCGGAGACGTAAGACTCGGGCTCGGGGGACTCGGGTTAGCCTCACGGGGCCATCACTGAAAATGCCGAGGCCCTATCTGAAATTTGACGCGAACTCCCGCTGCAGACGTCCCACGAAAACGGGACCGCCAAAATCCAGGACGCGCTCGTCAAAAAAAAATCGGCAAACCCGAGTTCCGGCTTACTCGAGTCTTACGTTTCCCCGAAACAAAAACACAATGCAACATGCACTTTGCGGCAAAACCTGGACGGTGCGCGGGCGCCCCACGATCACGTCGCTGTGGTGTTTGACAGGAGCAGCTGGCACTCCAAGTGCCCGCTCTGCACGGACCAACCGTCCCTGTCAACACACAGGGCGAAACACGCACGATGGCAGAGGCTGGCTCGTGCGTGGGCGCCCCGCGATCGTTTTGCATGGCTTTCTGGGCAGAGGAGGAGGAGGAGGAGGAGGAGGAGGAGGAGGAGGAGGAGGAGGAGGAGGGGGAGGAGGAGGAGGAGGAGGAGGAGGAGGAGGAGGAGGAGGAGGAGAGGCTCGCCACCCTCTGCACTGGCCAATGCACATCGCACTTGCGGCAAAAACTGGATCGTCGGCGGGCGCCCCGCACGGGCGGCCCCGCTCTGCCGAGGCGCACCGGAGGCCCCAGCTCCCTGAGGATCTGACTCTCTGGGCGGCGCGCACGGGGAGGCGGAGGCTGCTTCCTATAGGGGGGCGCGCAAACACGGGTTAGCGATCCATGGACTTGGCGCGCGGTCGCCAGATCCATGGATCAGGGGAGGTGCCCTCCCCAACATGTGACAGGTGCCACTTCGTTCGGCGGCGGAAGCCCGCGATTTCCCATGGAAACAGGACCCGTCGCTAATCCACGCCCCCTTGATCCATGTTTGCGACCGCCCGATCTCAGAAGGGCAGAAGGGGGTGGAGGGAGGGGGGCGCGCAGAAGGGGTTGGAGGGAGGGGGAGGGCTTCTTAGAAGGAGGCTGCTTCTTAGAGGGCGGCGGCCCTGTGTCTACAGATGAGGCCCGCGCCTTCTGAGAAGCGGGGGTGTTTCTAAGAAGCCCCTCCCCCCTCCCCCCGCCCCCCTCTGCGCGTGGCTGACTTTTGTTCGATCCGGGGGGCTTTCCTGGATGCGGGCCCCTGGGGCCCGTCACCAGGCCCCGGGGGCCCTCAAGAACGGATCCGGCACGCAAAGTGACCC